ATTGAATATTTTTAATTATAATATAATACAATTATCCCAATTTATTAAATTTCAAATCCAAATCATTTTCTCTCTCTCTACTCTCTATCACCTCCCTACCCCTTCTACTCCGATCATCTACTCAGACGACTGTTCCAGCGATCACTCTGGCGGGCGCTACGACAACAGTTCTGACTGCTCCAATAACCACTCCAACGCATGCTCCGATCAACCTACCCACCACATCCATCCACTCCCAATTTCCAAAAAAAATTTAGAATTTCAAGTCACAATCGATCACAACGAGTCACAAACCGTCAGAATCGGTCACAACCGGTCACAATCAACACATATTTGGTCTGAAATCCTCAAATGAGTTCAGAAAAAAACTTCACAATCTGAAACTACATGAAATCATCCTTCATGATAAGACTCGGTCCATGTCCATGAATGGACAATTCAGCTGATATAATGTATAATTCAATCTCCTGATATTGATAATCAAATGCAAGCAATTGGGTCACTTCGTGATCATCCAGAAAAACAAGACTTGATATTTTGGATTCCACACAACATAGGCTTCCTATCTGCTTCTTTGTTCAATCATGCGGTGCATTAGACGGATATGGAGTTATCAGCAAAATGATACAAAACCAGCAACCTGTTTCCAGTTTCGGGTTCCAGCAGCAAAAGCTGCCCCTGCATTAACCCAATCTTTTTTTTTCCACAATATCTTTGAATCCCACAGTGAGTGAAAGAAAAAATTGCGGCAAAATATCCCCACTTAAGCCCATATTGACCAACCGACTTAGCTACGAAAGATGCACGAGCGATACCAGTGAGACCCAGTTTGTTAGCATCAAATGGACCGACACAGGAACCCCAAATCACGCCGACAGTGCCCATGCGTATGACAGAATCAACTGCGATAGAAGAGCAAGGAGCGTCATCGAAGAAGTCTCTTTCCATTGTCAAGAATTTGATCGACCTTCGATTCTTCTGCGAAGCACTGTCCCCACCAAAAACTCCCTCCCAAACACACCCAACAATGCACCACCCCCTACCAGGTCCGGCACGTAGACGTTGAAGTGAGGTACCAAGACCCGGACCGCGTCGTACCATTGCCACAGCTCGTGTATGAGCACCAGATCTTGTCGGGTCGATTTTGAGAGCTTGGGCACCCAGCAGTGCATTACAGTACCATCACTTAGGTCAGTAAGTCGGTCGGAGGCCCAAATTGGTTAAGCCAGATCTAAGGCACCAGTTTCTTGATGCAGTTAATCTGAAGCATTTAGACATAGCAGCGTCTGTGGTCTCCGGTGACGGCACTAACCACCGCCACCTTCACAGCGCCGCCATCTCCGAACGGTACCAACGCCGACGGCTGGGGTGATGGGGGTAGGAGACGACGGCGAACGAAATGACAGATTTGTGCAATGGATAGGTGGCATGTGATTCACCGACGATTCTCAAGACGGCTACGGGCTGGTAGAAATGTAGAGAGAGAGAGAGAGGCCACGGGTTGGGAATCTACTATCTAGGAACTAGGATGGTTCTAGAGAGAGAGTGGGTTAGTTGGGTTATGAATTAGTAAAACCCATTAATTATATATTGTAAATAAATTTTTGTTAATTGTAATTATTAAAATTTAAT